AAATTCGCAATATTCTATTTTCACGATTTACAAACGTAAACATCTCTCCATTTCGGACGTTGTGTCCGGTACGGTCGAGCGGGCAGAGACTCGACGGCGAATCAAATGTACGAAATATACGAAATAACGGAGGTTGTCGGGGGCGCGGTATACAACGACGACGCGACCAGGATTTTACATGACCGTGGAAATTGTGTCTCTCCGTGGATGTTGCTAAAACGGGGGTGGAAAACGGAGCAACAGACAGAGAGAGAAAGAGACCGGAGATCGCACAGGAGTTTGGCTGCACATCGCGCATACCGGCGTGCATATATGGTCGCCATAAACATCTCTCGCAGGCACCTACCGGACCGGAGCCATGTCTGCGAGGAAAACGACGAAATCACCCGGAAGCCACCGGCGGTCCGTTATGGTCGCGTTATGCTAGAGTATCGCGTTATAAACTTCCGTGAGAGGCGTCTCAGCCGTGTGTCCGTCGTTCTCTACGCGCCGGAGATAACGATCCGCTCTTTCCCTCTCTCTATCGCATTACTCGCACTTTGGAGGACCGCTGTTGGCTCGCATGCTCGAGTTACAACTTCATGTAATCGGTACCGTGAACAAACCACGTTTCATGCCGGTGCTCCCGAACGTTTCCGTCCGCCGTGTAATATCGCCGAGAGTGCGGTAGATTCGAATAAATTCGAAACCTCGCTAATTGAAGCACCCAATGATAACATAAAATTATGACAATCGATCTTGACACCGATGTATTAAATTAAAGAAATCATTAATCGAGCTTGTTGAGAATTTTTTTTTTTTATAGTTAATTTTAATGGAGCAGAAAGAAATAATTAAAGCGATTTAATATTCATGTTCTAAAGCTCGCAATTTTTCTAGATCTTCGACGAATAGGAATATGTGTGAATTGTTAGTGAAATTCGAAATCGTCGTCACGTTTCCGCGCGCCGATAAAACGATAAATGTACAATTTTATGGCGGAATTGGTATTTTATATGACTTGTGTGAAAGAGAGCGCGGCGCATCCGCGTCGCACTTTTACGACGAATAAACTGTAAACGCTCCATCCGCATAGTAGCTCAAGTTATCAATCCAATTGCCGGTTTTAGAACGAGCGCGAAAAACCGAAAACGCGAACAATCTGTAAAACGAGAAAAGCGAGATACGCAGCTAACATATTCGAGGATGCCATCATCTGTATTAACGAGTTTCAGAATTCATTTATTTGTCGTCTCGAATTTTGCATGCTCGCGATTATTTTCACAATTATGCACATTGAATAAAAGTCATTCCATCAATTTGAATAAAACTGATTACCTTGAAAAGCAAACGAGGTAAATATTTGCCAATATATAGAATAACAATATCCTCTATTTTGTTTTCTAATGTTAAAAAAAGATAAAACCTTTTTTACACAGCTTGCCAAAAAGTTTGATAAAAATTCAAAATATATTCACGTCAAATAGACAATAGATATAAAAAAAGCCATGAATTAAAACCTATCAAAATCATTTAACAGACTCCAGAATATAATACATAGTTGTGTATAATTGTGAAGTTCGAATATATAAAAATTCCCAAACACACGGAAGGAAAAAGAGATGTACATTTCCGGTAGTTACAAATGGAAGATCCAACCATTGTTATTGAATAATCTATCTGCTATTTCGGATATCCGAAGTGCATCCGCTAAAATCTCCCAAAACTACATCCGCGCTGCGGTTATCAATGTGTTGTGATGCAAGAAAGCAAAATGACCCCAATTTGAAATCGTTCACAACTGTTTAAAACTCTTCTCGGTATTTTCTGCCAAAATAAAGTTTTTTGTTACATTATATAAGTTTGTTGAAAACGATTCGCGACTAAATCCGAAATTGAGCCGCACAAATTGGCCATTTATCTTTCCGTCAAAAGAGATCCTTAATTTTTTAAACTGTGCTGAAAATCCTCTTATTAATGATATTACGAGAACATGACAATATTTTAATTATATTATGTAAGAGTTTAGTAAGACTTAAATAGGATTGATATTGTCTTTGTTCAAGATATCATTAATCGTCCTGCAAAATTTAAAATAGAAGCGTATTTTTTCTGTAACTTTGTTAATGCTACATTTTATATCGGCTGCGCAATAAATATGCCATTTTTATTATTTTTATTTTGCCATATTTCTATATTTTTATGTTACTAGAATATTTGTCGACTATGAATGTAGTGATGCAAGTTTCAGGATTAACATTATTCACGTAAATCAAGATTTTTCGCTAAAAAGTTTTAAAACTCTAAGCTTAGAATTATAAGAGCTAACGTGTTCCATTACAACTTTATTAAAATTTAAAAAAATCTAAATTAAAATACCCGCATATGAGAAAATTCCTATCTGCCAGAGCTGAGTTGAAAGAATTAAAAATGATTACATTCCGTTCAATTAAATCTCTGCGACAAAAGCGCGAGCGCGGATCTGTGTGATATCTAAAATATATTTCAAATATATTTCTCACCTCAATAAGCGTGATCCGACTTTTACACAAAGCATACCGAATAGCGACTGTACGCTAAACGGTATTCGAAATTTTATGGTCGAACGAAACTGCACAGGTATCCTTTTAATGCACACAACGACGAAGTCATATAAATCCGATCTATAGCGGAGAGGACGAAAATTCTGAATCGGCTCGCATTCGCGTCGATCGGACCCGAAATTGGCAACAGGCAACGATGCGAGGTGCGACTTCGGCAGATTGCGCGGAGGTAGCACGGGACGATTCAGGACCAGCGAGCGGAGCTTACCGAATTATATTGTTTGATAAATCCGTAATGTATATAGATTCTCTATTAAATGGATTCGTATGCCTCTCTATCCTCCCCCCTACCCTCTCACTCCCTCCATCTCTTTCGACCCGTTTCCCATCGCGCGGCAATAATGCCGGAATGATTGGCTCTCGCTGTCTGGCCTCATAGAAACGACGAGCATTTACTACTAACAATGCGCAATGTACTATCAGCAATCTACAACCTAATCTAGGGAACGACGCGAGCGCGTTTTCGAACTGCCAGCCCTAATAGTTACGTTAGTTAATGGGTCACTGCTCATCCGTTCATATATCATGCATGAAGATGACGGAGGTAGGATCTCAGAGGGGAGCATATTAAACATTCAAAACCTACCGAACATGACAATCCGGATTTTCGGGGCATCGACTCTCGGCTTTTTGAGAGAAAGCTGATTTCGTGACTTGAATGGGTATTATGGTAAGTACATGCTCGCGCAAACATCGTACATAAGAAAGGATTGATGATTTACTAAGAGACTCGGAATAAAGATTACGAATGTTAGAAAGATGATGTAATATCAATAAAAAAAAGGTCGCAAATACGAAACAAGGTACGATACAAGATACGAAATTACTATTATTTAAACCCATTTTGGACAATTTATTCTTAAAATCTAAAACACAAGAATATTCTTCTATTTTTGATTTATAATAAAAAAATATTAGCTATTTCTATCATATTTTCTTTAACAAATCAAGAAACATATATCAGAATAAAATTATCAAATACTTTCTTCAATTTTATTCACTTATATATTATCTTAAAATAGACTTTATTTAGAATTAAATTGTTAAATTGTTTAAATTAATTTAATGTGCATTTATTTAATATTTTTATATTTCAGTATAAAATTTAAAGTTATTAAATAAATGCACAATTTAATTAATTCTAAATAGTCTATTTTAAATAATAGATAATATAATTGGAGAAAGTATTTTAACTTTTTTTTTATTATAATACATAATTTTTTTTTATTTTGAAATACAAAATATAAAATACATTTTTAATTGATTCGTGTTTATAATATTATTGTTTCTTATTTTGTTCAAATAAAGCAGCATATATATAAAACTATATGCTATATAAGTACAAAGAGCCAAGTCGATTATTTTAGCAGAACTTTTTCGGTAACGTCGCACGCGAACTCGCATGTGGTATTATCGCGAATTTTATCTCGCTTTCGGTCCCGCTATAAATCTGCAAGTAACCGAGAGTGTTACACTCAAACGTAGCAGCGAAAGAGCAGTCGCGAACACACACGAGATACGCGAATAAAATGCATCAAGCGCTCCTCCGGAAATGAATATAACGAACTCAATTAAAACCGGAGTGGGCACTCGAGAGCGCCGTAAAAACGAAGGACTCTTGCCACGTCACGAATGTCGCCGGATGAATTGAGCCGGAAGAAAGGTCAAAAAAATTCGGCCTGAATTATTTCAACGCGAAATGCTCTCGTGAAGCTTTTATCATTTACACTGAACCAAAGTCAGAACACTGACGCAAAAAATAGCTTGTATTTTAAACTATTCTCTCTGTATTCTTACTTAATTTTATTTGAAAATGTCAAGTCTTATTAAACTTTAAAGTATTTTTAAGAGGAAAATTTAATATTTGCTAATAAGTAGCGCTATAGAAATGTCAACTTACAAATAGAAAAACTTAAAATTATAATAAAAATACAAACTTGAGATAAATATAGATGAATGAAAAGTTAGAAAACATTAAAAACGTAAAATTTTTACGAAAAATTAGGATAATATGCCAAAAATAACATTACTACACGTAATTAGTAAATGCGATAATTAGTAACTGATTACAATCTTATAATCAAAAAAGTCTTACAATAAAAAAAATAATATAGTCAAAATTCGGAAAAGTTCTATTTAATCTGATATTTTTAAAAACATATATACAAAATTTTCATTATTCCTCTTCTTTCTTTTATTTTTATTCAATTAAATAATATTCTTATACATTTATGATAAATATATATTTGATTATAATTTTTGATTGATTTTTTTATCTCAAGATTGTGTGTGTATATATATATATATATATATATATATATATATATATATATGTATGTATATATATGTATGTATATATATGTATGTATATATATGTATGTATATGTATGTATATAAAATTGAAAATTATTTACTCACCAGCACGATGCGCAACAGTGAAGTTGTAGTCTTCTACACGATGTTGATCTGTAAAATACAAACATATTCAAATTATACAATGTCTCTACAAAAAATTTTCAAAATAATTATTGCGTTCTCAATTAAACTTATCATTTCTCCATTAAATAGATTTTTAATATAAACAAATTACATAATTTTTGAAAGAAATATTTAAAAAAAATAAATTTTGCCTGTTTTCCTCAATTCATTTAAAAAATAAATTTTTATATTTCAAAAATGTATGACAAATAAAAAAATTAATTTTTACATAAATACACTAAATAATTATAAATCTTAAACAATTTTTAAAAATATTACATATTTAATATATAATATTAACTATTATAAATATTTCACAAAGTTAAAAATCTAAAATATTTTATGAAATTATAATAATATAATTAAAAAGAAATATGATAAAATAATGAATTAAATAAATCATGAATTGCTTACCACACAGTTGCTTCTCAGTTGCCTGATGTTTCCCCGGGTCTCCTCTTTTATGCTTTGTTGCTCTTTGGCATTTACTTTGATATTCACTCGCGAAAACACATTTAATTGCGATCACACGCAAATTGCTAATTAATAGTATATGATCGCACGACACTTTGTACGGCATTTCCTAAATTAACCGCACACGATTTATTATTATATATTGCGTATAAACGACGAGAAAACTACCGAAAAAATGACAGACAATTTACATCTAAAGTAGCGAAAAATTCAAATACTAAATAAATAATTATCGCCCGTGTTGCAATATTGGAAAATAAATGAAATAGTAATAATGCATAATCCAATCGATCATTTATCATATCTCTATTTAAACATATAGCGTGAGATGTATATTTCGATAAACAGCCGGAATATTCACGTTATGTGCTTATCGCGAGAGTTAAAATACTAAATAAATAATTACCGCCCGTATCACAATATTGAAAAGCAAGTGAAATAATTTATAATTCAATCTCACAAAATGTATCACTTATCGTTTCGATCTCTATTTAAATAAAAATATATACACAACGCGAGATATCTCCACTTCGACAAATTGCCGGAATATTTTAGATTATCGCGAGAGAGCCTTCATTTCGCAGACGAATAATTAGCAATTGTAATAATTCGATTTTACGATCGATGACTCTGATCGAGGTCTCTCGGTACTTTCCGCGATCGCGGTTTAAAAGATACTACGACAGCGGAGCGCGTCGCGTGTACGTGAGCTCTGACTCGAGTCATGACGTCACAAGGTTGTTACTGACAAGGTCGCCGCTGCGTATGGCGCGCTACACACGTTTAGTACGGAACGAGTGCCCGACACGTCGACAATCGTTGACTTCCCCTTCATCGCTACGGAACATTGGAATGTTTGACAAAATACGAAATATTCTATTCCTCGAATTTTTAAATAATCATTAGTGAACAATTCGCGTATTGTGATATCTTTTTGTTTAATCAATTTCGTGCATCGTCGCGTGTTCTCGATAAATGAATTATACTTTAATCGGTAAAAAGTTAGTATTCTGAATATCGCGATGTAATAAAAATTTATAGTTGTCTATATCACTTATATTATTTCGATTTGTACTTGAACTTGCAATTCGTGAATGTAAGAAATAAAACGCGTCTTTGTTTATTACTCGATGGTATGTTAGTACGACATAATGAAAGATGTTTCATTAACAAAAAACGTCAAACAACAAAGACACTGAAAAGAAAAAAATAATAGACGTGTCTCGCTATAAAAAAAATATTGGGTAGGGAAAAGAAGGAGATAAGACGATATTATTCTATCAATGTTCGTACGTATGTAAGCAAAGTATATCATTGTATCGTGATCGTTATTATCATTCGTGCGGCAGGATTCGAAGCGACATGAGCCGTTTCATATACATATAACCTCCTAAAAATTCTCGAAACGTATCATAAATTTCGCATTTACATATCGTTATATTATAATTCGCCACGTGTATTTCGCGAGATTTAATTAATCAAAATCGATAATATGAGAGCATACATTATTTATTAAAGTCGTATTACCGCATGAATTTAATTGCATCGATTGTCAAGCATCGAATGATTCTATCAAAATAATTCTGCGATTTTCATCATTCTTATTCCTTCGCTATAATAAGTATAATAAAATAGGCATCGCGTGTAATTATATCGGGAGTGCCGTTTAAAGTGTCGCGCGAGTGTCGTATTCAAATTGCGCATGTAATTGTAATTAAGTGTTTTCGCGAGTGAGTGCTACAAAGAAGCAGCAAAGAGGAAGGAGCAGACCCGAAGAGAAATCGGACCACAACGGAGCAACTATTTGGTGAGTAAAATTTACTTCATTTATTATTTGTTAGAGATTATTTGCTTGTTTACTCTTTCGTGGTAATAATGTTTTATATATTATGCCTGATATAAGGCACGTAAAATATATTTTCAAGAGAGATTTTTTATTTTAAAACATTTAAAACGTTTAATAATTATAATTTATAATTATATATATAATAATTATAATATTTTTATATAACTTTTCACAAAATATTTCTCAACATTGTTTAAAATATCGAAGAGTAAATAAGTAAATTCAATTAAGCATAATAATTATTTTTAAGGTGTTAATTATTTTTTTGCTTTATATACATACGATGCACAACGGAGTTGTAATATTTAACTGTTGTGCATTGTATAGTGAGTACTAAATTATTTTCTCTCTATTTTATATAACTATCTATTTTATTTAATGTATTTGATATTGAGAATGTACAAGAAATAATTTTTAAAAATTATATTATACATACATATATGAAATTAGAAGGGGAAGAGAGAAATATAATCGAATAGAATAGAAATAGAATCGAATAGAAATATTGGATAAAGCATGAAAGAAATGCGGAAAATTGTAAAGAATTTTTCAATCAAAAATTAATCTAACACACAATGTGACATTTGATATATTCGTTTATACCGTTAATTTGCTCGACATTTCCCAAACATTCGGATTGACGAGCGATTCTCCATCCGCGTTTTCAAAATACACAACCGGGACGTTCTCTCGGTGTTTCTTAAAGAACTTTGCCGAGCGCTTTTCACTTCCCTATTTTTGAAAAGAAAATGCTTTATCTTTCTTTTTCGCCGTTTTCCCGTCGTCATCGTAGTGCACTTACTTAGCACGAGCGGCCAATCTACCAAGTAACTGGTCTTTCAGCCGAGTATCTCCGTGGAAAAGCCCCGAGTAGAGGCTGACCCTTCTCGGCAATCGCCGAGCTTAGACAACCCGGTTCGTTGTACAATCCATTATACAGTTTTGGTAAAGCATATACATCTATGAAAAAATTCATTATACGCTTGAATAAAAGTAGTTTCGTGTATGATTAATTATATTAATAGCTTCAACTTAATAATTTGAAAAATCAGCTACAGTTTAGAATAGAAATTTGATTAAATTTTGTTTTTGAAAAGATCTCATCAAAGGATCAAAGTTTCATTATTATTAAGTATGCTTATTAAATGTTTCCAGCATACTTATGTATTAAATAAAAATAAAAAATTTATTTATTAATTTTAGCATATTTATTATTATATATATGTATTTCATACTTATTAATGCATTCCATCATTTATTATCATTACGTACTTTAAAATTGAGAGAAAGAAATGAAAGAAATCTAATCAGAATCTTGGAAAATTCGCTGAGAATTATTGCAAATGAAGTAGCTGTACATTACTTGGAGTCTATCGACATTACATGTAATGGATCTCGTTTCTTGTCGATGAGAACCAGGTTTGCCGAGACTATGTCTATAGTTATACTTGATTCGAAGACCAGTTATATTCGCTAGATTGACCATTTCTGATAAGTTAGTGCCGGCGAACCATCGAGCAGAAATCGCGGAATTCTAAGGGAAAGAAAGATGAACGTTTTCTTCCTCGAATGAGCAAGTGCGCCGATAAAATCTTCGGCAATCTTTTCACAGACTTGCGGCAAATTCTCTTTCAACCGTAAAGAAAAACCTACTCGCCGATACGCTACACGATATCTGTCTGTACGATAGACATTCAAATTATATATGTAAATTATAGAAAAAGAAATAATGTTAAATTTACCTGACTTTTTTGCTTTGAAGAAATATATACATGAAAGAATACTTTAAAATTCGATGCATTTTCAAACAGCTGACATATTGGAAACGTGTACCAATATAAATATCGTGTCACAAAACAATCTCTATCGTGACAACCGTAGCTGTTACTGTCCACAGATTTAATTATTCTACATAACGTATTTAACGTATGTTGTTGCACATGTGCACCAAATAGTAAATGTATTCATTCAAATTAACGCGTCTCTGCATTGCGCTTGTAAACCGCAGGAATAAGCTTTACTGTGTCTTTACAATGAATGAAATTTATTTCTTTGAAACAACCTCAGAAGGACAACATTTCGTGTGTGTTTTAAATATCGCGTACATAAAGTTGTGCGAAATAAAATTCGTTATTCGGCATTCGGTGGAAGTTTTTTTAAAAACAACGCCGCTAACGCGTAATACAGATATACTAACGTACATTACTTTCTTAAGGTAGTAATAAAAACCGCCGCCGTGTATTTGCTCGCGCTATTTTTATCACCTCTAGAAATATATTCGAGAATACATAGAACGCCACCACAAGCATTGCTCGAATACTTTGAGTTACGTGACTGCTATAAACTGCAAGTCGGTATACCCATGAAAAACAGACGCACGCTTGGCGTACAATTTTTATGGCAGACAATACATATGTTCTAAAAATCGGATACATTTGTCGAATGGCATTAAATGTTCGAAAATTAATCACAATTTCACATTCATTTCTAATTATTTTTTAAAAATTTAAATTTTAAATTGTAAATTTTATTTAACTTACGATTAGTAAATAATAAAAACGAAAATAATAATGTTACATTCGAGTTAGAACGCTTTATAAAATAGAAAATTATTTTCACATTTTCTCTTACCAGTGCAAATTAATTTTTTATTTAATCTAGAAATTTT